GTACGGATAGATTAAAGCCCTTAGTCTTTCCTTAGGGCTGTCGCAGGAGGACTACCCAGTGTTAAAGATATTCTATTAGGTCACCTTCTGATTGTCTGAGGTCTTGGTGTGGTCATCCAGACAACATGAAGCCACACCATTATGATCATGTAAACGGTGAATCTAATGGACCTAATTCCGTTACATCCTCCATCCTGTCCTTAACTTTCTTCTCATCCTCCGCCCTGTCCCAATCTTTCGTCTCCACCCTGTTCTTCATCCTCATCTCCTGCTCTGTCCTTTTCCTCATCCTCCACCCTTCCTAACCTTTCCCACCCACCTGTCAGTGCTAGTTCTCTCTCTCTCTCTCGGGCAGGTTATTGGCAGAGAATAATGACGTGTTAAAACAAGTTAATGGAGTGGTTAATGACGTGGTTTGATGGGCATGTTAATAGCGAAGAGTAATGACGCGGATTAGTGGCATAAGCGGAGCATGTTTATGGGCAATTTATTGGAGCAGGTTAGGTTTGCTGTTAATGGAACAAGGTAGTGACGTAGTTCAATGGTGGAATGTTATTCTGTAGGTTAATGGAACAGGTTAGTGGCGTAGATATAATTTATAATTTGCCCTGCGAATGAGCTAGTTTATTGGGCACCCTTTGCATCCTGTGCAAGGCGTAACGCAAAATCATTTACAGCGCCCAACAGGGAAGCTTTGCACAGTTCATGTTTGTCTTCGTCGATCCTCTTAATAGGCGTAAGTGCCTGAAGTGGGCCATGGATTTCATCGTTGATTAATGGTGGAGGTTCATCAGTCAATTTGGCTTCATCGAGGTTATGGTGTTTGTGATGGAGCGCTTATCACTTGTTATCTGTTGGTAAAGGTGACAACAACGACTTCTGGTTTGCCCAATGCTGCACACACACACACACACACACACACACACACACACACACACACACACACACACACACACACACACACACACACACACACACACACACACACAGCAACAATAAGAAACAATTGACTAGCGGGAGAGGAGGAGGGAGGGAGGAGGAGGGGAGGAGGAGGGGAGGTGGAGGAGGAGGAGGAGGAGGGGAGGTAGGAGGAGGAGGAGGAGGAGGGGTGGAGGAGGAGGAGGAGGAGGAGGGGAGGTAGAGGAGGAGGTAGAGAAGGGGAGGAAGGGAGGGGGTGGAGGGGAGGAGGAGGGGAGGGAGGGAGGAGGGGAGGTAGAGGAGGGAGGAGGGAGGGAGGGAGGGGAGGAGGGAGGGGGGGGAGGAGGAGGGAGGGAGGGAGGTAGAGAGAGAGGGGAGGGGAGGGAGGAGGGGAGAGGAGGGGTAGGGGAGGGAGGGAGGGAGGAGGGGAGGGAGGAGGAGGGAGGGAGGGAGGGGGGAGGAGGAGGGGAGGTAGAGGAGGGAGGTAGAGGGAGGGGAGGGGAGGGGGTAGGGGAGAGAGGAGGAGGGAGGGGGTAGAGGGAGGGAGGGAGGGAGGGAGGTAGGGGAGGAGAGGGGAGGTAGAGGGAGGAGGAGGGAGGAGAGGAGGGGGTGAAGAGGGAGGGGGAGGGAGGGGAGGGGAGGAGAAGGAGGGGAGGGGAGAGGAGAGGAGGAGGAGGGGAGGAGGAGAGAGGGGAGGGAGGAGGAGGGAGGAGGGAGAGGAGAGGGAGGTAGAGGGAGGAGGGGAGGTAGAGGAGGGGAGGTGGGAGGAGGGAGGAGGAGGTAGAGGAGAGGAGGGAGGTAGGAGGGAGGAGGAGGAGGAGGAGGAGGGGAGGTAGAGGAGGAGGAGGAGGAGGGAGGTAGAGGAGGAGGAGGAGGGGAGGTAGAGGAGGAGAGGAGGTGAGGGAGGAGGAGGAGGAGGAGGGGAGGTAGAGAGAGGAGGTAGAGGGGAGGAGGAGGAGGGGAGGGGGGAGGGAGGAGGGAGGGGAGGGTAGAGGGAGGGAGGAGGAGGAGGAGGAGGAGGAGGGAGGGGGTAGAGGAGGAGGAGGGAGAGGGAGAGGAGGAGAGGGGGAGGAGAGGGGAGGGGAGGGAGGGAGGAGGAGGGAGGGGGTGGGAGGAGGGAGGGGAGGGGAGGTAGAGAGGAGGAGGAGGGGGGTAGAGGAGGGGAGGTAGGAGGGAGAGGGGGAAGGAGGAGGGAGGAGAGGTAGGGAGGAGGGGAGGTAGAGGGAGGGAGAGGAGGGGGTGGGAGGGAGGGGGAGGTAGAGGGAGAGGAGAAGAAGGGAGGAGGGAGGAGGAGGAGGGAGGAGGAGGAGGAGGGGAGGAGGAGGTAGAGGAGGAGAGGTAAGGAGAGGGGAGGTAGAGGAGGGGAGGTGGGAGGAGGAGGAGGAGGTAGAGGGGGAGGAGGAGGTGGGGAGGAGGAGGAGGAGGTAGAGGAGGAGGAGGAGGGGAGGAGGAGGTAGAGAGGGAGGTAGAGGGAGGTAGAGGGAGGAGAGGGGGAGAGGAGGGGAGGGGAGAGAGGGAGGAGGTAGAGAAGGAGGGGAAGTAGAGGAGGAGGAGAGATAGAAGGGAGGGGGAGGGAGAAGATGAGCGGGAAGGGGAGAGGAGGAGGGGAGTAGGAGGAAGAGGAGGAAGGGGAGGAGAGCGAAGAGCGGGGAGATGAGGGAGGAGAGCGAGGGAAGAATAACTGTATATGCGACTAAACAGATGGCATGCGGGAACTGTGGTCGTCACGTCGTGTACACACATCAAGTTGTCGCGTGCACACACCTATCGTTGGTTACCCACACCAGCACACACCCCTCCTCTCCCCTCCCCTCCACACCCCTACCCTCCCTCCCCTCCCTCCACACACCTACCCTCCCTCCCTCTCTCTCCACACCCCTACCCTCCCTCCTCCCCTCCACACACCCTACCCTCCCTCCCTCCCTCCACACCCCCTCCCTCCTCCTCTCTCCTCCACACTACCCTCCTCCCTCCCTCCCTCCACACACCCCCACCCTCCTCCCTTCCTCCCTCTCTCCACACACCCACCCTCCCTCCTCCCTCCACACACACACCCACCCTCCCTCTCCACACACCCTCCTCCCTCCCCTCCACACACCACCCACCCTCCCTCCTCCCCTCCACACACCCAACTCCTCCCTCTCCCACCCTCCCTCCCTCCCTCCACACCCCACCCTCCCTCCCTCCCTCCCCTCCACACCCCTACCTCCCTCCCTCCCTCCACACACACCTACCCTCCCTCCCTCCCTCCTTCCACACACCTACCCTCCCTCCTCCTCCCTCCACACACCCACCCTCCCTCCTTCACACCTCCCTACCCTCCCTCCCTCCCCTTCTCACACCCCAACCCTCCTCCCTCCTCCCACCCCCACCCCCTCCCCCACACCCCACTCTCCCTCCCTCCCTCCCTTCACACCCCCACCCTCCCCTCCTCCCTTCACACCCCAACCCCTCCCTCCCTCCCCCTCCACACCCCACCCTCCCGCCCTCCACACACCCTCCCTCCCCCTCCCCTCCACACACCCTACCCCTCCCTCCCTCCCCTCCACACTTACCCTCCCTCCACACACCTACCCTCCCTCCCTCCCTCCACACGGTCACCCTCCTTAGTATATGGGTCACCCCAATAACAGTGACCACTCTAAATCAGTCTGTCTGTCTGCCAGCCTCTGTCTGTGTTTGTCTGTATGTCTTCTGTCTGTCTGTCTCTCCTCATTTATCACTATCCATCAACATCGTTCCTTCTACGTTCCTTCCACAGTTTATTTGTATTATTGCTATTCTCCCACTCCCATATTTATCACCCACTACGTGTTATTCCCTCCTCCGTTATCGTCTTTATTCTACTCCATATCTTCGTCTATTTTGTTCCTCATTTCATACCATCACACGAGCTTAATTATTGGTTATTTTTCCCCTATTCCTACCTTTATCACCCCTGTTTTTTTTGTCCCTTTCAATTATCGTTATCTCTACCCATCTCCCCTCCTTCCATCCATTTCAATTCTGATTTATCTTTTAGGTCTTTCTTATTCCTTAATTCGTCTATCTAAGTATTCCCTTTTAAGGTAAATCACACTTATAGTAATTACCTTTTGGGGGATAATTAAGCTTGAAATAATTACCTTTTAATTAATTACATTTTATATAATTACCTTTTAATTAATTACCTTTGTAAGTAATTCCACTTAACCCTATGAATATAACACCACTGTAATCAACTGTTAAGTCATCGTACTAGGGATTAAGTCATCATACTCAGGGGATTAAGTCATCATACTCAGGGGATTAAGTCATCGTCCTCAGGGGATTAAGTCATCGTACTCAGGGGATTAAGTCATCGTACTCAGGGGATTAAGTCATCGTACTCAGGGGATTAAGTCATCATACTCAGGATGTCATGACTAGAGGTTAAGTCATCGTACTCAGAGGTTAAGTCATCGTACTCAGGGATTCACTTACTTTATACCAGTTAAGTGAGTGGATGTACCAGTGAGTAACCAGTTAAGTGAATGACTGTATGGGTGAGTAACCAGTTAAGTGAGTGACTGTATGAGTGAGTAACCAGTAAAGTGAGTGACTGTACGAGTGAGTGGATAAGTGGACATACCAATACTTTCCTCACCTCCAGTTTACGAAGGTCTGTATCCAGCGAGCACTTCATACCACTACACGCCACAGTCTACCTTTATAAGTAGATGCTAAACTTATAATCGTGTTATTTTACTTAACAGAGCGTTAAGAAGATTTATAAGTAGCACTGTAATGAAGACTTGTTTGTAAGTGAAGATATCGGACATTACTATTCACGACACAAAACACTTATAAAACACTAGTCACTTAAATAGCACTGCAACGAGGTACAACTTCACTTCTCGCGATACTTTTTTTTGCACTTTCCATAAATCCGATACACTTGCAAAATCAGATGTCATAACGCATTTCTACATCGGATTTGAGGACTGTATCCACAAACCTACTTAAACACCAGTACGCCAATATAAGTAGTTTAAATACCGTATATATACATACATATTAATATTATACACACACAACACTACTATAATAACACACACACATACCGTCCACGAGAGGCACACAAGTACCTACACTAGCTCAGAGATACGACTGAGTGAATGTAGGTCTGTGTGTGGACGGTAGTCTGTGGGAGTGTATGTGTGCTGACGTGTGCGTGTGTATATGTACGTAGAGTGCTGGAGGTCGCTACGGAGTAGAGGAAACAGATATACATGTAACATAACACTTGGTACAGTATGGGTGTGTGTGTGCGCCAGTCACCAACCATTCCAAGAAGACAGTCGTTCGTGATGACTGGATAAGTTGTTTTAGTCAGACAGTCATCACCCCCACCCCCACCTCTCTCCTCAACATAAGAACAGTAAATATCAAATATATTTTCCACAATTGTATCTTAGAAAAATAACATTACTAACATCTGTAACCTGACCTGACCTGACCTGACCTGTTACTATGCTTCAACTCCAACTCCTGCCAGGCGTCACCACTACGTCACAACACTCACCTGTAACGATAAAAACACAGTATTAGTAAATATATCTAATTAAGGTTGAGTCTCAGTGTTAAGGATGAGTCTCAGTATAATTATCGTCTCCTAACTGATAAGATTACATTGTACTCGGGTTCTTGAATTATAATACTCAAGGAGGTTAAGTCTGTACTCAAGGATTTAAGTCATCGTACAAATGGGATTAAATCATCGTATACCAAGAGCTTAAGTCATCGTACTCACGGAGTTAAGTACTCAAGAGGTCAAGTCATCGTACTCATTTGGTTGCCATCGTAATCAAATGGTTAAGTCATTATTAAGCATCAAATTCCCTCACTTAATCCAGGACGTAGAGATGGCGACGTAAATCCACTGAGACTCGACCCACACCGTAGTTAAGCAGCTGTACAGTGTGGTCAAATGTCTAGATAAATTGATGCTATTTTTAAAGCCTTTGGCCTTCTACAAGCAGCGCAAGGTCTCTGTTTTCATTCTCTGAGGTTTCGAAATTGTTTTTAATGGCGTTTACATACATCTCGAGGCTTCATTGGTGGTTTTTAAGGTATTTTGCTGGTGTTTTCTAAAGACAAAGTCATCGTATTCAAGAAGATAAGTCATCGTATTCAAGAGCTTAAGTCATCGTCGTAAAACAGTCAACAACTTCTATCATCCACACACACACTCCTTTACTCTCTCTCTCTCTCTCTCTCCTTCATTTTTTCTTTCTCCCTCACTCTCGCTCTCTCCCTCACTTCCCTACTCCCTCTATTCCCTTCTTCACCCGCTCAGATCACCGGCAGTGGGGTGATGTGGGTCAGCCAGCACAGGTGTGACGGCACAGGTGTACACTTTAAGCAACATGTGTGTGCCTCAACTACCTACAACATCTGCGCCGCCACGTAACTCACCCACACAGGTAAACAACACCGCCTTGCCTCCTGCCCTTGCCCCGCCCCGCCCCGCCCCGCCCCCCGCCCGCCCCGCCCTTGCCCCGCCCCGCCCCGCCCCGCTCTGCCCCGCGCTGTTCTACTCTACATTCATTCACTTCGGTGTAAACAACAACTGAACAGTATACTAATGCACCCAAGTCAATAGGTATACCAAAGTGAGTTTACTAGTACTGGACACTTGAATCCCGGCCACCAAAACACGACTTCCAATATACGGATGAACCCTACTAGGGATCCACTCTCAGGGGTTCAGATTGGTACCATATGTTACTGAACCCTGTGTATGTAAAGGTGAACGTTTAAGCGTGTCTATGAACCCCTCAATAAGTGCCACACCAACTTTGAACCCCCTGACCACTGTGTAAGGTTCAGTATGGGGTTTCAAACTTAGGCATGATTATCCGACTCGGGGTTCACTAAGCGTACACTTTATTGTTATGTTTGGTTTGTGAGGACTTTCTCTGGTTACAGAACCAAAAATTGACAGACAAAGACAGGCGGGCAGACAAAGACAGGCGGGCAGACAAAAGAACAGGCGGGCGGACAAAGACAGAGGGAAGAAAGGGATGATTGATCACTGACACACAATACATTAAATGATGTTTACACACACACACACACACACACATATACACCATCTGGCAGGAAGTTACTACCACGTGATGCCCCTCATAACACCATCTGTGAGGGAGTTACTACACCACGTGATGCCCCTCATAACACCATCTGTGAGGGAGTTACTACACCATGTGATGCCCTCATAACACCATCTGGTGAGGGTTACTACACCACGTGATGCCCTCATAACACCATCTGTGAGGGAGTTACTACACCACGTGATGCCCTCCTAACACCATCTGTGGGGAGTTACTACACCATGTGATGCCCCTCATAACACCATCTGTGAAGGAGTTACTACACCACGTGATGCCCTCATAACACCATCTGTGAGGAGTTACTACACCACGTGATGCCCTCATAACACCATCTGTGAGGAGTTACTACACCACGTGATGCCCCTCATAACACCATCTGTGAGGGAGTTACTACACCGTGATGCCCCTCATAACACCATCTGTGAGGGAGTTACTACACCACGTGATGCCCCTCATAACACCATCTGTGAGGAGTTACTACACCACGTGATGCCCCTCATAACACCATCTGTGAGGGATTACACCACGTGATGCCCCTCATAACACCATCTGTGAGGGAGTTACTACACCACGTGATGCCTCATAACACCATCTGTGAGGAGTTACTACACCATGTGATGCCCCTCATAACACCATCTGTGAGGAGTTACTACACCACGTGATGCCCCTCATAACACCATCTGTGAGAGTTACTACCGTGATGCCCTCATAACACCATCTGTGAGGGAGTTACTACACCACGTGATGCCCTCATAACACCATCTGTGAGGGAGTTACTACACCATGTGATGCCCTCATAACACCATCTGTGAGGAGTTACTACACGTGATGCCCTCATAACACCATCTGTGAGGGAGTTACTACACCACGTGATGCCCTCATAACACCATCTGTGAGAGTTACTACACCACGTGATGCCCCTCCTTAACACCATCTGTGAGGAGTTACTACACCACGTGATGCCTCATAACACCATCTGTGAGGGAGTTACTACACCACGTGATGCCCCTCATAACACCATCTGTGAGGAGTTACTACACCACGTGATGCCCCTCATAACACCATCTGTGAGGAGTTACTACACCACGTGATGCCCCTCATAACACCATCTGTAGGGAGTTACTACCACGTGATGCCCCTCATAACACCATCTGTGAGGAGTTACTACACCACGTGATGCCTCATAACACCATGTGAGGGAGTTACTACACCACGTGATGCCCTCATAACACCATCTGTGAGGGGACTACACCACGTGATGCCCCTTACATCTGTGAGGGATTACTACCATGATGCCCTCATAACACCATCTGTGAGGAGTTACTACACCACGTGATGCCCTCATAACACCATCTGTGGGGAGTTACTACACCACGTGATGCCCCTCATAACACCATCTGTGAGGGTTACACCACGTGCCTCATAACACCATCTGTGAGGTTACACCACGTGATGCCCTCATAACACCATCTGTGGGGGTTACTACACCACGTGATGCCCCTCTATCTGTGAGGGTTACTACACCGTGATGCCCCTCATAACACCATCTGTGAGGAGTTACTACACCACGTGATGCCCTCATAACACCATCTGTGGGGAGTTACTACACCACGTGATGCCCTCATAACACCATCTGTGAGGAGTTACTACACCACGTGATGCCCCTCATACACCATCTGTGAGGAGTTACTACACCGTGATGCCCCTCATAACACCATCTGTGAGGAGATTACTACACCACGTGATGCCCCTATAACACCATCTGTGAGGGAGTTACTACACCACGTGATGCCCCTCATAACACCATCTGTGAGGGAGTTACTACACCACGTGATGCCCTCATAACACCATCTGTGAGGGAGTTACTACACCACGTGATGCCCCTCATAACACCACCTGTGAGGAGTTACTACACCACGTGTCTGCTGTTCAACACTTTTATTAGTCTACGTTTCTAATCAATCTGTCTTGCTGCTTGTGTCTGTCTGATGGTATTTTCTCTCTCTTCTTCTTCTTTTCTTCTTCTTCTTCTCTCTCTCACCTCTAACACACTGTTGCTGGCGTCTTGAATGGGAGAGAGAGAGAGAGAGAGAGAGAGAGAGAGAGAGAGAGAGAGAGAGAGAGAGAGAGAGAGAGAGAGAGAGAGGCTTAGGAAGGAAGGATGTGGGGGAAGGAGAGAGGGTTTCTGTGATGTCCTCAGCTGCGTGTTACTTGTGATAAGTGTTTAGTTGGGAGGGAGGGAGGGAGGGAGGGAGGGAGGGAGGGTAGGTGGGTAATTGGATGGGTGAGTGAGTGTTGGGAGTGGGTGGGAGGGTAAGCTTCCATAAACCAGTGGAAATAAAACCTTGTAAACCAATTCAGAATATCGACCACACGATAAAACTATAAACCTAAAATAAACCAAACACAGTAAAACAAACAAACACTGTAGATCCACCACAGTATAACACAGCCTCATTAAACATTACTTCCAGAAAAAAATTAAAACATGACAATTTTCTGGGGGTTTTTTTTTACGGATTCAATTTAATTTACAGCTATCTTATTATTCATTATTATCGTCTTATTTATACTCAGGGTCAATATTATTATTATTATTATTATTATTATTATTATTATTATTATTATTTATTTATTTATTTTAGTGTTATTTTTACCATCAGGCATTATTGACATTATTAATAGGTGTCATTAGTGTTGTTATTACTGTTATCATCATCATTTTTTTGTTATCATTTATTTCTTTATGTTAACTGTCTCGTGAACCTCTTACACAGGTACTGTACTGTGTGAGCCTGGCGTTGACTGCATCGATTACTGCCGAGCAAGAGCTTCTACGTGACCTGAGAGAGAGAGAGAGAGAGAGAGAGAGAGAGTTACGATGTTGGTACACACAAGTGACCTTGACACAGGTAAGACTTCTTACTTACCTGGAGGGGGGGTGGAGGAGGAGGAAAAGAGGAAGAAAGGGAGGAGGAGGAAAAGA